CAAAGGTCCTAACAGTGACAGTTATGCTTAACCTCATTTTTCTGGATGTTTCATCTGATATTCTGTCTATATGCTAATTTTAGGTCCATCTCTCAAGTGTCTCTGCTTCTGCTATAAATGTCCAGGTACTCCTAACAGAGGTCTCTGTGTTTGGCCAAATGCCTTGTCTCTGGCTGGAGACAAACTGTCCACAGGTGCAGCTGGGACTGGCTTGTGTCCAGCAACCTGATCCTCCACTGGTTTTTCCCTTTGCTAATTAGCACCAAAACATGCCAGTATCTATGTATCTAAATCTCTCCTGTGCAGGAGAGCAGCAACAAAAAAAAAAAAGGGTGGGGGGGAAAGGCTTGATCTGAAGCAGTTGAATGACCTTGCCTGCCTTCCAGTCAGGGCAAGGCAGATGGAGATGAACAGAAGGATGAAACACAGAATCCTGGAATGATTTGGGTTGGAAAGGACCTTAAAGACAATCGAATTCCAACACCCCTGCCATGGGCAGGGACATCTTGCAGAGTGTTGGGAAAACTAGAGAGCAGCTTCTCTTGCTGGTTTTTGTAACAGCCTTATGTGCTAAAGGCTGGGAGGAGTTTGGGGTGCAGGGGGATTAGGTTTGCTCAGTTCCCATCCTTGGGAGTTGGCAGTCCCTTGAATAGATGTCTGCTTTTAAGGGCCTGAATTGACTGGCTGGATTGTTGTACTAATTTGCAGTCAGGAAAGGTTTGCCTGGAAATCCTCTGAGAACAGTGGGTGGGAACAGTTGAAGGTTTTGGGGTTTTTTTTCCCCTCAACACCGATCCTGTTCAGGGGATTAATGAAGTAATTGGAATTCCAGTGGGACACCTGTTAGACCACTGATACCAAGATTTACCTGAAAATCTTATTAGGTGGCTGCTGAGTGTCAGCAAGTGGCAACTGCTTGTAAGTGTACCAGGGTTAGAAAATAGAGGCTTAAAGCAGCTGTGGAACAGCTCTTCCTGCTGTGAGGCTGTTTAATAGCTGTGGTTGGTTTATTAATTGGTGCTGTTTGTCTCTGCTGAGAGCAGCAGCATCTTCCTCAGCTCTGGAGCCAGCCTCTCCACTAGAGGGAGAGAGGCTGTTCTGGCAGGAGGTGCTCCTGCTGCTGCCTTTCCCAAGGGAATAACCTGAGTTCAAGTGCCTGGGAGTCCTTGCTGCTGTCCTGCTCAGGATGTTTGTCTCCAGCTGGTTCTGTGTGCTTTCCTCTTGAGACAGGTGTGATCTCCACGATCAGAGAGGAAGCTTTGAAGTCAAAGCTTCTTCTGCTTGGTTCTTTTCCCTGCCCTGTTTGTTTTTTTTTCCTTGTGACCCCTTATCTCCTCATAGAGTGTCTACAGAAGCTGCAGGCAGGTGTGAGCCAGCAGAAACAATGATGCAGTCGTGTGATTAGTGCCTGACTCCTTTGCCGTGTGCAGAGCTCAAGCCTCTGCTTCATCCTTGTGGGAATGTGTTGTTGGGATGTTTGGGGTGGCACTGCTGCAGACCACACATTCCTCTGCTTTCAGAGGCTCTAGCAGAAGAATCTCTCCCACCCTGTGTTTTCTTACAGTGTGTGCAGTTCGTGGAACAGTACGAACCCGTGGTTGTGCAACTCTTGGCAGAGGTGATGGATCCCACTTTTGTTTGCACTGTGAGTATTTGGTTTTATTGAATCCTGCCTACTGTCCTGGGTTCCTTTCAGTGCCCAGCATGCAGAAACTCTGCTGGAATCAAAATCAGCACTCTGAATGCTCAGAGCAAGCCCCTTGTGCAAGGCCTGGGGCTTCCTGAATGGACAGCTGTCTGACTGCCAGCCTAGCACTGCAGAGAGCTGCCAGTGGTTCCCCACTGCTGAGGTTCATGTGCCCTGAATGTGGTGGGAGGTGAAGTGACATTTCTTGAGAAAGATCCCTCTCTGGGAGATCTGTTTTTCAGAACTTGATACGAAGGAGTTCCAGTAACTTAACTCTGCTCTGGGTCAGGTTACTTGGCTGCTGGTTCAGCTGCAGGTGTGACCTCAGTGAGAGCTCCTGCAGCTTCCTCACTCACTCGGGTGGAAGCTGAGACATGAGGCTGCACTGGAGGCCTCTTGGTGTGCTTAGAAAGGTGCTGACTGTACTGCTGCTTTTTTTCCCAGAAACTTGGAGTCTGTGAGTCAGCCAAAGAGCCTCTCCTGGGGAATGATGCCTGTGTCTGGGGTCCTGGCTACTGGTGTAAGAACATGGACACTGCTGCCCAGTGCAATGTACGTAAGGCAGCGTTCTGCCTCCAGTTTCCTGTTTTTGACAGCTCCTTCTGAGCTATTTTTGCTTTCTGCTGCACTTCGATGTGGATGAATTCCAGCTCAAAAAAAAGCAAAAGGGTGCTAGTTTGGTTAGAGGGTGTTTCATAGCTCTTAGCTTTCTCAAAGCTGATTTCCCTCTCCTTTTTGTGTCCCACATCTGTCTGCTAGTATTTCAGAATCTATAGTGAGGTACAGTGTCAGCTTTCTATTTAGTCAGTGTTCCTGCAGCCAACAGACCATGTCACAATCTCTCAGCAGGCTCTAAAAATTGTCTTTCAGTGTTGCTTTTTCTGCCAGGCTTCAATGGCTGAGGGTCATCAGCCTTCTTTCCTAAAGCTCCTGGCTGGTGGTGCTCAGGATGATATTTATTCTAGTCCCCTTTGAAATCACTTACTGTAAGAGAAACAAATTTGCTCACAAGATCTTGGCTCAGGATAAGGTGTTGAACTGCTTGTTTGCAAACTGGCTTTTTTCCACTAATATCAGCTATTTCTTCCCCTTTAGGCTGTTGATCACTGCAAACGTCATGTGTGGAACTAGAAGAAGAATTTCCAGTTCTAAAAGTTTGCCATGGCTCTTAGGAAATGTGGGCCGAGGTTGGCAGAGAGCTGTATCTCACCTGTCCCTCCTCTCTGCCTCATTAACAATTTGACCTTCAAGTTCCTTTGTTGTAACTCTTCTGTAGCAGTGCTGCTGTTGAAGGATCAGATTTTCATTGTTGACTTAACAAAGATATTTCTGATTGTACAGTTTAACCCATTATGCTCCTAAAAATAGTCAGTGTGTTGTAGATTTTTTTTTTTTTCAATTGGTAGCTGAAGTGGTTTTTTTATGTGCTGGGAAGAATGACAGAGATGGTGAAATGAGACATGGCTCTTATCTTTTAATTTAAAACAAAAGAGCAAGATGGCTTCCAAATGTCTTTCTGTAGGCAGCATTGGGAAGATTTTACATGCTTTGCATTTTTAACATCTGGCTGGAATGTTTATTTTCTGTGTATGGGAACTCTAAGGGATAATGTTGACTCTGGGAATCCTTTTGGCTGGAATTTTCAAAGCTCTGCAGATGCAGAGGATGGGGGGCTTTGTGTGCCCAGCTAACTTTCAAAATCGCTGGTACTTAACAAGATGCATCTGAATGATCAGCCTTTTTGCATTTGAGTGACCAGGCTTGTGGCTCATGGTATTAGAGCTAAGGAAAACCCTCCCTCAGCCTTTGCTCACATCCTTCTGATTTCCTTGGACTCTGTCTCAGCATGGATATTCTGCTGCCAAGCCCAGTCCAGTGGGATGTCAGTCTCCTGAAGCATTCTGGCTTACTTGAGGAATGACTCCCTTTTTTTTTCCTTATCCTAGTTGCTCAATTCTGCTTGGTCTTGCAGCTTCCCACAGGCTGGGTGCTGAGGAGGTAGCATGAGCTGTCACTGGAAGATGGAGGAGGATCAAGTCAGCAGGAGCTGGGAATATGTCAAAAGGAGTTCAGTGGAATTTGTGGAAAAGCAAGGTTTTATTGCAACCTGTTTGTTCCCTGCTCTGCTTTTTCTCTCACAGCGTTATTTCAGTCATCTGAAAACTTGAGAGGTGCTGTGAGGCCTGGGGGCACCTCCCACTGCTGCCCACCCACTCTCACTGACGCCCTGCTGAGTAACTGGAGGTATGGATTGTTATCCCGAGTTCCCATTTCTGTTGGGAAATGCAGCAAGCAGAGGTGGCAGGTGGTAGGAGCACTGAAGCGTGTAGGTATTTGAGGCTCTGCTTGCACACTTGACAGGCCTGCCTTTCACACCTCTCTGAAATTCCACTTAAATGGCTTGAAATTCTCCCCAAAAAAAGCCTTCATGGCAGGCCCTTGATGTGGAGGGGTCCTTGGGAGTGGGTTTTCTGCTTGTATTGCTTGGGACAGACCTGCAGTGGGTGTGCTCTTCAGATCATGTTCATCCCCAAAGCAGAGGCACTGAAGTGTAGCTCTGAGGAGACTTTTGGGGAGGAACAGCTGGGCAGATGTGGAGCTTTGAAAATTCCAGTCCTGTTCAGAAAGATGCTGGTAACTCCTGCTGTTCCTGTGGTGTGTGGGGTGTGCAGGAGCTCCAGTAACAATGCTGTAGCAGCAAGCAGAGTATTTTTCATTGGAAAACCACTGGACTGCAGGTTTTTAGTTGATACTAAAAGCCTGGGCAGTGCTGACAGATGGCAACAGAGGTTGTTCTCCCATTTCCTGAATGCTGAAGCACTCATGGCTTTAAACAAGAGGGGGGGAAAAAAATGGAAAATTTCCCCTAAAGATATAAAATACCTGCAGCTTTATGTCCTGGCAGGCTTGTGCAGTGGTTCTGGTGGTGTATCCCAGCTGGAGTAGATGGAGCAGATAGGAGCTGGGCTCTGTTCCTTCAGCACTGCTGCCCTGGAGGGATGGGTTCTGTTACACCACGGCACAGAGGGTGGCATTTGGTGTTTTAAACTTTGTTGGGGGGAGGTGGGGCTGCATTGACAACTTGACAGGTTTGGGAAGGTTTTATTTTCCTGGGGTTTTTAGTAGGATTCATGCTGGCGACCTGCTGGGCAAGGTGAACCAGGGGAAGTCCTGTGCTGCTGCTAGGGAGTCCCTTTAGTTTTCTCCCTTCCTGTGGACTGTGGCACCTGACCCGCTTTGAGTCATGCTGGGGGGGACACACTGTGCAGTTGCTTTCTAAAGAGCATTGTCTTGATTTTTTTTTTTCTTTTTTTTTTTTTCTGCACAAAAGCTTCCTTAATGAACAATAAAAACTTCTGTAAACCGACGAGTTCCTGTCTTTCCATTTTTCTCACTGGCCAAGGTTTTTGCTGAGGTTCCCCTTGGTTGCAGGGCCAGGAGAAGGCACATCCCAAGGTGTCACTGGGAATCTGAGCCTGAATGGATTCAGGTTGCCATTAAGCTGCGTGTCCCATCAAGCCTTTGTTCTGCTGAGCAGGGTTGCAGGTGGAAGAGGCTTGCCTGGGATTGCTGCTGCTCTCTTCCCTGGACAAACACAACGCCTGGTGTGAGGCAACAGCCTCGTGTTGCAATCCCCAGAGGGACTCCTTGATACCGGCCTTCCCTGCTGACTCGCATTTAGTGTGGCTTCCCCTGTGTCCTCATTCCTTGCTTGATTCCAAATAAATCTCAGAAATGTCATTTAAAGGCAGGGAACTCGGTGTTGTCACCTTGCTCCAGGACAGTTTTCCCTGTCTGTGCCCACCCTCTGCAGCCAGGTGAGCGTTGAGCAGCAGGTTCTGGGCTGTTCCTGACCTCCTGGGAATACCTGCCTGCCTCTGGTCCCTCCCTCCCTGGTGATGATTTTATAATCAAGGCATAAAGTGAGGGGTGTGGTAATTACCCTGCGTAGGTGTGGATTCTCACTGCTTCTCCCAGCCCATCCAAGATTCCTCAGTCTGGGAGCAGCATAGGAGAGGAACCAGCCACTGAGGACTCTTAGGAACGGCATGGAGAGCAAATGGAGTGGCTTGGTGCTGATCATTTCTGTGTGCCTGGGCTCCTACCAAGGTAAGGCCAGGCCTGGGGGTAGGTAGGACGTGGAGAGCCCAGAAAACCCTGCTCAATCCCAAAACTATTCCCAGCTTTGGTGTCTAAGCTCCATAATGTGCTTCCTCTGGTGTTGGAGTTGGGCAGAGGAGAGCTGGGGAAGGCGACACTGCTGTCTGTGTCACCCACCTGGAGGTGAGAGTTGGAACTTTTGCCCACAAAAGGGGTTTGTTCCCTCCCTTCTCTGGGATTCCCAGCTGGGGCACGGAAGGAGGGAAGCCAGGATCTCTCTGCAGCAGTGGGGCAGAGGAGCTGCTCTCTCTGCTACCCTTGGCACTGGGGCCTGGCTGCCATTGTGCGAGCTGGGGGGAGCCACTTGGTTGTCACAAGAGAGTGACCATGCTGCCATTTGAAGCTGCCCTTCTCCTGAGGATCCTCCCAGGAGCTGCAGGAGGCAGGAAGCTGCCTCTGCTGTGGCCTGCTGAGCTCTGGGACAGGTGACGGGGTGAAATGTTCCACTCACCTCAGAAGCCCTTTCAGTAAGGGCACTTGGGCGTCTGTGAGCAAATCCTCCTGCAGGCAAACCTCTGCTGCCATCCCTTAGTCATTCCCGGGAAAGAAGCTGGGAAAAGCCTGCTTCTAACCTCGGGTCCTTGCTTGAGGGTAAATCGCTGCTTCCTGGGGAAATCTTCCCTGGAATAAGTGGAGGCCTGCTGCTTCAAGCAAACCCCTGATGTTTTAGAGTGAAGAGCCCTCCTTGCACCCCAGTTACCCCAGGCTTGGTCCATTGGGCTCCCCTGACCCGATGTGCCCAAAATTTTGTGGTGCAGCATTTGTGGGTGCGTGACCCAGGGAGGGTGGAACGTGTCCGGGTGCTCCAGCCAGGAACAGGCAGAGCAGAAAAGGTCACCTGTGCTCCATCCCCGGGGTGACACCTGCCCTGGGACCCTGCAAGCCTTGGAGAAGGGTTTGGGAGCTGGGAAGAAGAGAACATTTATGGTTCTTGCTGTAACAGGGGTGTGCGCCAGGCCGGGAATTGGGGCGCTGGGGCCCACGCTGCCACCCCCGGGCTTTACATCACAACCGGCTCGCCAGGCTCGGCCGGCTCGGCCAGGCAGCTCCGAGGCTCCAAGGAATGCCAGCACAGCCCTGCCGGGGCTCTGCTCTCAGGGATCCCCCCCTGAGCAAAGCCCACCCCATCCCCCGGGTCTGGAAGTTGTGGCTGGCCTGAGACCGTAGTGGCATTGGAGCGTCGCCAAAAATTGCCAACATTTGCATCATTGCGTGCCTGGCAGCATGACGTGGCTCCAGCACGGCTTTGAAACGTGTAGGAGAGCTCACGGGACACCAGTTGCCCCGGTTGCTTGCCCCGTGGCAGTGGTTTCCACCTGGGGAAGCTCCCCCTGCTCTCAGCTCTTGGGTGTTATGATTAGTCCTGATTACTTTCTGGCCCAGCACTGGTTGCCTGACTTTTCAGCTTGAGCAGGGTGAGGAGTTAAGTGCTGAGCTGAGGATCTCTGCGAGCCAGGAAAGTGAGCAGGACCAAACCACCCGTGTCCTTTAGATCCTCCCGACCCCAGCACGGGGTCCGGGCTCCAGCACAGCTCTGTGAGAGATGCTGGGGGACCAGCTCAGAAAAAAGCTGTGGGGTTGTTGCCTCCCATCTCCTCGGTTTTGGTGCTGCTCCTAAATGCCTCCGCTGACTTGCCATTCCTGTTCGCCTTGATGCTGGGGCTGAAAAACATAAATATATCCCTCTCAGCTGATGCGGCGAGCGCGGAATCGCGAGGCTGGGAAGGTGTGTGGGAAGCCTGGGAAACCGGGGGGACTCGCCCTGCCCCGGGGCTCGCCTGCCCCAGTGCTGCTGGCAGCCCGATGGGGAAATCGGGGCTGAAACGCCCTCCGAGCTGCGCTTTTGGGGGCAGGCAGGAGCTGTGGGGGGCTTGGGACCCCTGTCCTCACAATTCCACCAGCCCCGGGGTGGCCCTGGGCACGCTGGAGTGTCATGGATGAGCTGGAGGCATGCAGGGAAAGCAGCTTTTGGGGAGAAACCTGATAAGGGCAGGGCTGGGTGGAAGGAGCAGTTTCTGCCTTCGGCTTTATTCCTGCTCTGCAAAATCACAGACAGGGGCTGGGGGATAAAAGCTGGATGCTCCCCACCTGGCCCCAAATTCCCGGAGCAGCTCCCGGCCGAAGCAAGGCGGCGAAGGGCTTGGGCTGTGCCCTTGTCCGCATCCTGGGTGGGCAGAGTTCCCGGTGGAAACAAGCACTTGCTCCATCAGGAATGAGTCCTGACACACCAAGGTGACAATTAGAGCGCTGCTCTTGCGCCACGCCACCCCGCGCTGCCGGGGCGGGGAGCTACAATCAGGAGAAAATGCTGTCGTGGGGAGGAAATAACACCAAAAGAACCCCACCAAAAGTGGCGTTGCTCAATCGTTGCCGGGAGCCGTGGCGTGGCTGTCCGTGGCTGCCGTGCGGGGCCGAGCGCCGGCGCCTCGGCTTTGCCCGTTTTGCAAGTTTTATTGCCGCTTTTATAAGCAGCCGCCTCCGCAGCGTGTCAGAAAGTGATGAGAGGATGAGGATGCGCCCCAAATTCCCTTTGCTTCTGACCCTGTGACATCCCGTTGGAAAAGCTGGCAGCCTGGCAAAACCGACCTTATAAAATCATTTTATTAGTGAAACACCCTCCCACTCCCACCACGACTTTGGGAGTTGAGGTGGAATCACCGCAGGAGGGTGAGGAGCATCACTCCTAGCTCACTGCGGTGCAGACAGAGAGGTCAGTTTGGTGTCTTGGGGTGCCTTGAGGGCTGACAGCCGCCTCTCCCCTCCCCTCCCACAGCCGGGGCCAGCCCCCTCCACGAGTGTGGCGAGCGGCCGGAGGACTGGTGCCGCGACGTGGCGACCGCGGCCAAGTGCGGGGCTCTGGAGCTCTGCCGGCTCACGGCGTGGGACCGGGCTCTGGGGGTAACCGTGCTGGGAACAGGGAATGCGGGGGGATGCGGGGGACGTGCCCATCTGCCCCAGAATCTCCCAGAGATGGTGGGGGAACCCCAGCCTGCCCACCCCAGCGTCAGCGCGTCTGCAGAGTAAATGGCAAAAGTCAGCTGGGTGCCCCGGGGTGTTCTTGGGGTGGAGGATTGGGGTCTGGGTGCCGTGACAGCATCCCGACGTGTCCCTTCTCTCGCAGCAGAAGGGGATCCCCTGTCACCTGTGCCAGGTGGCAGTCTCCCTGGTGGGCAAGATCCTGCAGGACAACCGCACCGAGGTGGGTGTCAGCAGGGACGGGGAGCGGGGCCGGCGTTCCTCCCCGCCGACACCACTGAGGCCCTGAACGCTCTCTCTGTCACCCAGGAAAAGCTGCGGCTCTTCTTGGATAAGAAATGCCAGTACCTGCCCTTCCAGGACTGGTCTGTCAAGTGCAAGAGGATGGTGGATACTGGCATCCTCGTCCTGGTGCAGCTGGGCAAGCAAGTGCTGGTAATGCAGGGGAAGCCCCCGGGCTGGGGGTTTTCCATAGTTTGGGATGGGTGTTTTTGGGGCTTGCAGAGCAAAGGATGCTCCTGGAGCCTGGGACAAAGCATCTGAGGGACGGGATGGAGAGGGAAGTGACCCGGGGTGGGTTGATGGAGGAGATGCAGCCTCAAGCCCCCATCCCACCTCTCTGCTCCCGCAGTCAGAGCCGAAGGTGGTGTGTGGGACCATCAAGCTGTGCCAGCGCCGGGACAGACCCACGGGCACCTCCGAGTACCAGCAGCCACCAGCAGCTACCACGGGCCCCACCCAGGACTTTGCTGACCTCATTGCCCCCTTCATGGCCAACGTGCCCCTCCTGCTCCACCCCCAGGACCTGCCCCACGGCGAGGCCCAGGTACTGTGGCACAGGCAAGGATGGTGCTGGGCACGGAATCGTGGAATGGTTTGGGTCGGAGGGGACCTTACAGATCATCTCTTTCCAAAGCCCTGCCACCGACAGGGAACGTGTCCGGGTTGCTCCAAGCCCCATCCAAGCTGGCCCTGGACACTCCCAGGAATGGTGCAGCCACAACCTGTGCCAGTATCCTAATGCTGCTCAGGGATTACAATCCCCTTAAAAGCATCCCCTTAACAACAACTAGAGAAAGCCCCTAAAATTTCTGCGGAGCTGAGGTGACTTCTGGCTGGCGGTGTCACCAATTTGGAGGGGATGTTTCAGGGTGCAGAAGGGAACTAGAGAGATGCTGGTCAGAGTGATGCCCCAAATTAAATCCCAGCCCTGCAAATGCTGTTTAGGGGATGGGGGGGGGGATTTTTTTTTTCTTTTGTGGGGTACCAATGCGTCCCTGCCCTTGTAACCCTACAGGAGACAGAAGAGGTGTGTGGGGACTGCCTGCAGCTGGTGACGGCCGTGCAGCAGGAGCTGGGCACCAACACTGCCTTCACCTGGGAGCTGCTGGGCCACGCCAAACGTGTCTGTGAGACTCTGACACCCGACCTGGCACAGCGGGTGAGGGGCCAGCAGGGAATCACACCAGGGGATGGGCTGGAAGGGGCCTTGAATCTCACTCCACCCTCCTGCCATGGGCAAGGACCCCTTCCACTATGCCAAACCCTGCTCTGGGACACTTCCAGGCTTGGGCTGCCTTCTCCTCTTCGATGGGAGCATCTTTTGCAGATGCCTGCCCGGGGAGGGGTGTGTGCTGATGCTGTGTTTCCCTCCCTCCCGCAGTGCAAGCATTCCCTGGCTGAGTACACAGACACGGCTGCCCAGCTCCTGCGCTATGTGGTAAGAGGCTGAGGGCTCCCTGGGAATGCCAGGGCTGATTGGGCGCCGGCTGGGGGCCTCATCAGCAAATGCTCCCTTTTTTCTTTTAGTTAAACTCACAGTTAACTTTAGTTAAACTGTCTAATATTCCTACAAAATATTGGGTTTTTACCCCCTTCTCTCTGCCTTGCAACTGCTGCAATTATATTTTGTTCTCGTTTTTTCTTGCCATTTTTTGGCCCCTCCACCGGTAGCAGGCGGGGGTAAGTGAAATGCTATGCCCTGATGCGCTGAAATTCCCCTCCCTGGGGCCAAAGCCTGCCTGATTTGGGATGTTCTCTCTCTCCAGGACCCAGTGGGGATGTGTGGCCAGCTGGGACTCTGTGCCTCCACCTCGGCACTGCCCCTCCACACGCAGCTCACAGAGAAGGTGATGCAGGTCCTGAGCACTCTGGGGGTAAGAGGGGACCCCCCTCCCCAGTTCTGCTGCGCTCCTTAAAACCCAAACACTGTGAAGGGGGACCCTTATTTTGTGTTTTATTTCCTCGAGCGCCTCCATTTATCCAAGGTGGGGAACGCCTTACGCGGGGGGATGGTGGTGGAATAAGGACCAGGGTGGCTCTGGGGGGGCTCGGCAAGCATCCCACCCCCTTGTCCCCACAGGACAGGGTGGGGAGCACTCCTCTGTGCGACGTGTGCCAGTTCACCGTGAAGACAGTCGAGAGCCTCCTGGAGAACAACGTGACAGAGGTGAGCCCCATGGAGCTGGCACAGGGGGCAGAGGGGCAGCGAGGAGCAGCGAGGAGCCGGGGCTCCCCTCCTGTGCCTTGTGCCGGCAGGAGCAGCTGGTGAACGACATCGAGAAGGTGTGCTACATGCTGCCCCACCGCGTCATCGGGCAGTGCAAGGACTTCGTCGACTCCTACGGCAAAGCCGTGGTGATCATGCTGCTGGAGGCCACCGACCCCGCGGCCGTCTGCAGCATGCTGCGCTGCTGCCCCCGCAGCGGGGACACCCAGCCCGGTGAGCTGGCACCCGGCCCGGGCACGGGGAGCGGGGTGTCCCCTCTGCTGCGTGCTGATGGCCGTGTCCTCCAGGGGCTGAGGCCCTGGAGCGGCTGGCGGTGAGCGCGGGCGCCTTCTGCAACGTGTGCCAGATCGTCATCACCTACTTCGACAACGAGCTGCTCAAGAACGAGACGCTGGAGGAGCTGGGCGAGGTGCTGGAGAAGGGCTGTGCCATGCTGCCCATGCCACTCACCAGCAAGGTGAGATGAGGGGGGCACAGCCCGCTGGGGACACCCCTGATGCCCCCAGTGCCGGGCTCACCCCTCTCTCCCCCTCAGTGCCAGGCGCTCGTGTTGCAGTACGAGCCGGCGGCCGTGCGGCTCTTCGTGCAGATGATGGACCCCACCTTTGTCTGCACTGTAAGTGTGCTCGTCCCTGGGTCACCCTCTGTCCCAGCCTGGCGTGGTCAGAGGCTCCTCATGGAGGATTTCTCCTTCTCCCTCCCACCCTCTTCCTCTGCAATGCAGAAAATCAAAGCCTGTGACTCAGGCAAGGAGGATCTCCTGGGCTCGGCGCCCTGCGCCTGGGGACCGCAGTACTGGTGCAAGAACATGGCCACGGCGGTCGAGTGCAACGTAAGTGTCACTCGCGTCCCCTCCTCCCCTTGGGAGGGACTGGCATCCCTCCCCAGGGCGGTCCTGGCATCCCAGCACCGTTCCTGCCCCGTCCCTCCCGCAGGCTGTGGCACACTGCCGGCGCCACGTGTGGAACTAGGAGCCATCTCCGCAGCTGGCCGGACTTGCTCTGCCGTTTGGTTTGGGATCCCGGCTCCCTTCCCTCGGGACGTGCCTGCACTCACCGACGGCCATGGCAGGAGCCAACCGGGGAACCCCAGCGGCCTCGGCCACTTCCTCTTCCACTCCCGGGGCTTGGATTTCCAAATCAGGTTAAGGGACTCGTTAATATTTTCAGGACTAGGGATTCAGCCTTGATGTCTCTCAGGGTGACAGCGAAATCCCCAGCCTCTATTCCCACCTCTATCTCCATCCCCAATCCCCTCTCTACCGCTCCATCCCACCCTGAATCACTCGTAAAACCCAGATCCTGCAACGTGGATCTGTCCCCGTGGGCTGGGCTGGGCTCTGCCGCCCAAACGCCGGCCCCTCACTCCTGGCTGGCCACTCCAGCCTCACCTGAACATACAAGGAAAGAGTTTGGGTGCAAGGATTTCCTTCCACACCCCCGTCCCTGCTGTGGGGGTCCCGTGCTGACCCAGCCGTGGTGGCGAGGGCAGCGGGGTGCTGGCTCGTCCCTCCCCGCCGTGCCGGGGGATGCCTGCAGTGCCTGGTCCTGGGCGTGCATGGGAGCATCCCATCACAAATAAACTCCTCCCGTGAGCCTGGCTGGTTGTGTCCCTCCTTGTGCTGGGGGCTGCAGGGGGAGTGTGGGCAAACCCGGAGGACATTCCATGCTTCCCCCAAAATCCCAGGTGCAGCAACGCCCAGGGTGGCATCTGGTGAAGATGATGGCTCGAGGGGGGGAGTTAAAAGAGGGTCTTCTCTCCCAAAGAAGAGACTTTCACTCCCAAAGAGGTTTGAGCCTGATGGATCGGGGCAGGAAGGACGACAGACAGGTGACCCAAAGCCATAGACAGTGTATTTCTGAGTCCCGTAACAGACCGTGCCCGAAACTCTCCACAAGGTTACTGTGACTGGAAACAAACCCCCGAACAAACAACCCCAAACGCAAGAGAGAAGGGGAAAGAAAAGGGCAACAAAAGACACGCACGAGCACTGCACATCCAGTGACTCTCTCTCTTTTTCGACATCGCAACAAGTTTTGGTAAAGCCAGCGAAATGGAGGAATGTCTTTGGGTTGGGTTTTTTCTTCTTCTTTTTAATTTTTTTTTGGGTCTTTCCTGACTGGAAAGGTGACGTTAATGCCAAAAGGATTCGGTATCTCCCCACGCTTCCCTGGCCATCCCCATGCTCGTGGTCGAGGTGTGACAGCTGCTTGTCCCCAGCCTGTGCCCGGGGATGCTGTGTCAGCACATCATCCGCATCCTCACTGCACCTTCCCCCCCGCCCCCCGACTCATCAGATTCATTCAGCTTCTCTTTTCTTTTCCTTTTTTTTTTTTTTTTTTTTTTTTTAGAAAAAAACCTTTTTTTTTTTCCTTTTTAATAAGAAAAATAAAAAAAATTTAATGGTTTCATGGATAAATGACAGGCGAGTAAAAGCATTCCGGTCCTGAGAGCCCTCTCCCGGGGCCAAGCTCTCCGAGGCTGCCGGAGCGATCCGCACCGGGGTAGCCTGGACTCCTGCGGGGGAAGAGGGGGCCAAGCACCGGCCTCGGGGTGCCCCTGGCCCCCACCACGGCCCCCCTGGTCTGTGCTTCATCCTGGCTTGCCTAGAGGAGCAGCGCCGCTCGTCATAACTCGGTGATCTCCAGAGGGCTCTCCATGATCACCTCCCGCATCTTGTGCAGCGGGGTGGACTTGGCCGACTCGGTGCGGGCGTTGTGGTCGCTGTAGCCCCCGCAGTCGGCGGTCAGAGTCTCCAGCGAGCGGCCCAGCACCTTCTGGTCGTCCTCGGGCAAGCTGTTGAGGTCGGAGGCGAGCAGCGTGCCCGTGCTGCCGTGCACCACGTGGATGCCGTCGGGTCCTTTCAGCTCCACCGGCTGCTTGTGGCGGAAGCGCAGGCTGCCCTGGCTGGGGCTGCGCTCCTCCTCCTCGTCCTCCAGCTCCTTCTGGATCAGCTGCAAGAGGGACACGGAGCAGGGAATCACCACCGTGGCCATCACGGCGGTTCCTGGCTTCCCTGACTCCTGCAGTGCTGGAGTCCAGCCAGAGGGAAGGGCTCTCCTCTTCTGAAGCGCCCTGGGAGTGTGAGATGAACTCCAGCTGGATCCATCCTTGAGTGGATGTCCCAGCTCAGGATCCGGCTGCCAGGTGGGTGCTGTGTCCTGCAGCCGCCCCCAGAGTGGCCAAGTTTGAGCCCAGGTTGGAATTTGGGGTTGTATGAGGGTGGAAGATGAAGGAAGGCTGGAGGGGAATAAAGGCATGGATGGATGGAGGGCAGAAGGGCTGAAAGGCATCTCCCATCTCACTGCTCTCCTCTGCTCTCTTTGCCCCTCGTTTTTGCACCCCCATGAAGGGTAGAAGACCACAGGAGGAATTGCTTCTCCCCATACCAGCCCTTCTGAAACAACACCCTCCATCCCCACATTTTTTGCCTCGAAAACCTGTGTTTTTGATGCAAAAAAACAGAGAAGCAGAAGGAGGGGAAGACGATCCCCCAGAGCTCTGGCCAGCCGATGGACAGAGGCCATTCTGCAAAGATGAGCATCCTCCCCTGGGGTCAGAACGACCAAGGGAGAAGGTGCTGATCAGAGGAGTCACTGTGGGCAACCAGCAGCCCGAAAAACCAGCAGTGGGAACCAGTGGAAAACCAATACCTGGCTTGTTTTGACCAAGCAGAGAGTTGGGGGACCACTGGGTGACAGGGACCACGGCCACAGGGAGTGACCACAGGCTGTGGGGCCGGGAAGACACACTGCATCCCAGAGGGCACGGCAAGCATCTCCCCACGCCCCCGCACACCCCTCTACCTCCGAGACCGAGGAGCGGTCCCCCTGACTGGCGGTGGCCTTATGCACCATCCGCTGGGCAAAGAGCTTTTTCAGGCGCATGTAATCGTCCAGCACCACCTTCAGGAGAGTGCCCTGGGTGGAGGGGGAGAGACTGCGGGTTATCCAGGGGAGATGGCTCAGGCAGAGGGAGGCCAGCCTCGTCCCAGCATGATGATTTCGGAGCTGTGAACCTGGAAGAGAAGGCTCCTGGGTGCGGGACGCCCGCCCTCAGCGCTCACCTTGATGGGTCCCTCCCGCATGATCTGCCCCAGCTTGGCGATGTTGTCGTACTCCTGGATGGCTGCCCGCAGGTAGCGGTCATCCTCGGGCTTGGCAGCCGAGGGCTCTCTCCCGAAGGTGCCCTGCGGGAGGAGGAGAGAGCGGCTCAGGAGCTGCTGCTGATGGCGGCAGGAGCGGGGACACGGTGTCCCGGTGGTGGCCGTGTCTCACGTGGGTGCGGGCAGGGCTGTTCCAGAGGTCGGTGATCTCGCTCAGGTTCTCGGGCAGGTCGTCCTCGTGCTCTGCCTGCGCTGCCAGCTCCATGTTCCTGCAGAAGGGGTCCAGCCACACCGGGTTGGCCCTGCCCGGGGGGAGGAACAGCCATCAGGGCAGGCAAGGAGCGGCGTTATCCCTGATCCCATCCAGAGCCTGGATGCTGAGGTTGCACTGCCTCCTCCTGCCCTGTGCAGGTATGAATTTGGCTGCTCTGGATACAGATGTGGGTCAAACCCCGCCCATTATCTCTGCTCACCCCAAACCTGGCCAGAATCGGCAGAGATGGAGAAAGAATAAACATTTTTTTAGCTTAGAAAGCTCTCAGAGCAAGCGCGTGTCCCAGGATCAGTAACGATCCATGCAGAGCAGAGGCATCATGCCTCCACCTCTTGGCTCCAAAACACAGGCATCCCTCTGTCGGGAGCAGCCTCCAACCCCAGGAGGTGGCACTCACCCATCAAAGGAGTACTTGTTGGTGTTTGGCATGTCCATGATGTCCATGAAGCCTCTGTTCCCTGCAAAAGGCAGGGATGAGAGTTACAGGGCGGCAGCTTGGTGAGATTGGGTGACACTTCTTTATCAGGGATAAAGAGCAACCCAAAAGTCACTGAGAAACTGAGCCTGATGCTGAGAAAAGCCTCCCACCATCACACCTCTGTGGGCAGGATCACTTCTGATACACACCCCACGACATCCCCCATGTCTCCCTGTGACCCCTCTTTGTGCTCCCCATGCAGCTGGGACACCCCAAACCCTGCTCACCAGTGGAGCCAGCCACGATGGCTTTCAACTTCCTTTTGTGCCTGCAAAAGCAACACAGCCAGTCAGGGAAGAAAATAAGGAAGATGCTGGAAAGGAGAAGGACACACAGATTTGCAGTAACCCTTCACACATTAAATAATAAATACTAAATCAGGCTGAGGAGCTTGGAGGGGAGAGGTACCGTTGCTATTAAAACCATGCATTTTGGGGGAAGAGGAGCTGGGAAGCTGATGCCCTCTTTTGCTTGCTGGCATTTCCAGGCCATGCTGGTCCCCCTGGTGTCAGGGGACATTGCAGGGGCTGGGAGTTACTCACACTGTCCGGTAGTACCAGTTCATGAGGATGAAGAGCATGGCAGCCAGGAAGAGCAGGACAGCCAGCACGATGATTGCCATCTAGGAGAGAGGGGCACGGGGGAACCTCTGGCATGCGGCCAGGACCCACTGGTGGCCACACGCCCGAAGCTGTACATCTCTCCAGGCACTGAGCAGTCCCCATGGGAAGGACAGCAGCACCTCCAGCCCCAGCTGGACCCTCACCTGCAGAGCCGAGAGGTCGTCCGGTGCCCGGGCAGTGATGGCCGGCTGCACGTCCAGCACGTTGTAGTTCCTGAAGAGATTCCTCAGCTGCTCCTTGTTCTCGTCTATCATCTGAATAACCCTGGGAAGAGAAGGGTTGCTTGGGCACCTGGACACATCCATAAGGGTCCCCAGGGAGGCAGGCTGGGTGGCTGGGTGGGGGGCCAGGGGGCGTACCGCTCCACGTCCAGGATGCGGTTGGTCTCCCTGTTCACCACGTGGATCAGCAGCTCTGTCTGGGCAAAGTTCACCCGGCCTTTCTTGTCAACGTGGAACTGGGGACAGACAGCAAGGTCTGCAGTGTGGGAGAGGAGTCTCCTCCTGAGCATGAGTCTCCTCCTCGAGGCAAGAGACCTCTTGAGTGGCAAGAGACCCTCAGGCATCAATCTGGACCCCTTCAGT